AAATAATTTCCAAAATGGTGTGAAACACGTACAAACTTCTAAGTAGAGCTCTAGTTCAACAGATTTACCTTTTAAGTCCAGAAATGTGATTTTTTATGGCTGAACACAACTTTGGGCTTACAGTGATAAACACTTGTTTCACAAAACTTTCTCCTGCGTCCTTCAGTGGCATAATATTTTTGTGATCCAGCCCTGATAAATCATCTCCCAAATGTAGACCTTGGGAGGCAATCAATGACCGTTGCTCTTTTTGAATCAGTTTCATTGTCAATACAGTGGTTTTTCCGGTGCCTGACCTCCCAAGTATAAAACTAGTGAGCGGGAATTGGATTATCTCCTGCTCTTCATCAGTCAGTTCAAAGGGGATGTCGATTTCAGATCCATCAGTAGCTGTCAGCAAATGCTTTGCCACACCAGATGATAAAGAGTAGAATTTCATTAGCAAGAAGCTTTCGCTAACTTTTGAATTCTCCATGGCATATGATGTATCCACGAGATCATGCTCCTCATAAGCATCAGCTTTGCAATCCTTGTTATAGCGGATAATATCATGCTCAATATGCCAAACCATAGGAACCTCCAGTTTCCTGTTATACACAACAAAGGAGGGCAAAAATTAGAAGAATGTCTACAGGCGGTTCATTTGTAGGCATGACTATTCACAAACAGTTCATCTCTCTAAGTATCATAAGTATACAAAAATCCAAGTAACCACAGTACTATAGCCCATTAATAATAACAATAAAAGAAACTCATACCCCTGTGTCTGCACTCTCCTGCAATGATCCAGGTAATCATCTGTGTACATGGAAAACAGATTCTCGAGACGTTGAACAGTTCTGGCAACATTTTGCTGTGACACTAGGTCCCAAATTCTTATTATCTGAAAATACCTTCCTTCGGTTTTCTCCATGTCAGTACTCCAAACAAGATACAGGTTTCTGACCTTGTATATTTTTGCAAGATGAGAAGCACCAGGTATATCAATGTTCTTAACTGTTGTCCTCCAACCATCTCCGAGTCTGATAAGCTTTTGGAGTACTTCCTTCCTGAGCTGTGGTGATTTTAGTTTGGTGAAAGACTTTCTAAACTCGTCGCTAAGAATGACCTGTTGAAAATATGAATACCAAAAATGGAACATGAGAAAAAGTGTATATGACAAACAAGAAAGAACAGTGTGTTCTTCAAGAATACTACGAGGTTCACAAGATGGTACTATATAGAAAAGAACCGCGTAATTGACATAGCATGGTACAAAGTAGCACATATCCTGAAAATCTTAATTCCAAACCTCTCACAATTCAATTACAGAGCAAACAGCATAGCAAAGACAAGTGAACCACACACATGATTCCAAAAAGTATAAGACACATGTACATACATGTGGTTTGCATGTATATTCATGAATACAAACAAAATCACACTATAAAGGAAGTGTATATTCAGCATGAGCCTCATAAGACACATGTACATACATGTGGTTTGCATTGTTGGTAACTACTCCCTCCGTCCTAAAATAAGTGTCTCAAGCTTAGTGCTTAGTACAAAGTTGAGACACTTATTTTGGGACGGAGGGAGTAGAAAATATGAAGTATGGTCAAAGTCAAACTGGCTGAAACCATGGTAATTACCTTCCATCTAGTATTGCTGAAAACTGCCGAATCAGCATTAAGAAGATCGTCAAGTTCATCAAGCTCTTGCTTTACTTGCACAACCAACTTACACATGGTTGCGTCATTAGTGGCACTGAAAACACATTTACGTCTCTCTGCGTCAGCAACAAGGTCTGTCCATTCAGTCCCACTTTTATACAGTGTATGAGCGTTCCCAACAATCCAAAGACAGTGCCTGCAAGAATAAAGCATCCATCAGATAATTTATATCACCAGTCTGACATACTTCGAACAGCAATAGAACAAGGGACCGCAAAAATATTGATGCACACCTTGCTCTAGTAAGAGCAACATTTGTTCTTTGGTTATCAGCAAGAAATCCAACAACTCCTCTCCCATTGGATCTAACAGTTGATAGTATTATTATATCATCCTCTTCTCCTTGGAAACCATCAACGGACTTCACCCGCACATGAAAGCCATCACATGTATCATATTTTTTGCCAAGCCGACTTTTAATTGCATCAACTTGAGCTTTATATGGAGAGACCACACCGGTGCTGAGCCCTTGATCTGTTCTTTTCCAAGCTGCACAAAAACATAAGTGGTATGCTTACTGAACTTTAGGGACCAATCTTTGGACAAGGCTACTGGAAGAATTTCTTCAGCAAATTTAAGTTGATGTAACCCCAAATCATTGACATATCATCGCTTTTCCACTACAAAGTCTGAAGATAATAAAATTTACTAAAGCGGGCACATGCAGTGGCCAACTACTCTAACAGAGCATAAATGTTTCATCTACTTAATGTTCTCCTTTTTCTAAATAAAAATGTAAATTGTCTGCCGAACAGTGCAACAGAATTAAAATTCATAAAGCTGGATTGATGCAATTACCATATCACGAGATACACATAGAAAACTTCTCAGACGTACACTATTGCAGAGAACAACTTTCTACCAATGAATGTTATCAAGTATGCAGCACAAGAATGGAAGACCACACAAGCTTCTAAAGATCCCATGTTACATTAGCCAAGTGCTTTTGTAAAAAAAACTAGAAAGGAAAACATTAAGGTTAAAGAAAGGATAGAGCTGAGCTTAGACATACATTTAAAGATGGTATGGATTAGGTGCAAAACAACAGCAACTTCAACCATGTTTCTGCGACTGTTTCCTGTGCCCTCTTTGTCTTCCCTTCCATCAGTGACATTTATAAACGTGTAGCTGCCAAAAGGGAGGCATGTGTAATCCTTGTTATAACTTGGAGACAGGACATTGGAACCATCTAAAATCTTCCTCCCATAAAACTGAGTATTTGGAAATAAGCTGATACAAGGATTCATGCGATACTGTATATTCAGCAAATGTTTATCAAATTTGAGCATAACCAATCTCCCAAATAGACTGGTCTCAAATCCAGCTTCTTTGCATACCTAGAGATAAACAATGAAAGGCAAGAATATCAAAAACAGATCAATAACAATGGAACATGAAAGAAAGATAAGGCCGTTACATTTTTTTCAAGGAAAGAAAGTGTTTCAGTATCAGAAGTTTATCTTGTTGATAAATGCACCAATATAACTAATAAAGGAAACAAGACAATATAAAGAGGGTGAGGCAAAACCTTACTTTGCTTTTAACCATTGCACTCAGCTGACAGTCATCTCCTACCAAAACAACATGTTTTAACCAATGCAGACGTAGTGGGATCACCAATTCACACTCGCGCACTTGAGCAGCCTCATCAACAATTAATACATCGAGGGGTGCAATCTCCATGTGATGTAACCGATAAGAGCTAGAGGCGGTACAGAAAAGAAGTGTTGCATTACGTATGCAGTAGCTCTGGACCCAGTCTTTGCCTACTCCAGTGGGTAAATTAAGCGAGTGTAGCAGATCTTTAAGCAATTTAAGGCATGAAGACCTTGCTCCGTCCAGTTCCTTCTCAACAGAAGATATAGGCTGTGCACAAACAGAGTTTTCAGTTGACAGGTAACCAAGGCTCCTTTTCAAACCCTCTTCGGTCAAGTCTACGTTGCACAGAAGGGTCCCAAAATTTTCCAGCATATTCAGCAATGAAGATATATTTATGACATTATCACGAGAAAAGCACCTTCCAGGAAGGTGAACCCACAAACTCATTATGCATCTTTTCAGAGCTATTGCTGTCGCATCAAATTGTTTCTTTATGAAGTCCAGAAAGCACACTGGATCAATTTTGCCATCATCCTCAAGAAGCATATCATACCGTGAAGCACAGTCTTCAAAAAAGGATATCATTGAAGCTATTCTGTAGTTCCATCCGGACAATGATGAAAAGCATTCCACAAGTTCATCGACACGAAAGTCCAAGAAAACTTCCTGAAGATCCTCGGTGATGTCCATGTTAGACCTGTTCCCAAATAGCAAGATATCTCCAAGAGAAGAAGGTAGACAAATGTTGTCAATGTGCTCATTGAAATCCTTCAAGTTCTGAAGGAAACGAGTGCAAACTCCAACAACAGCAACATTTGTGGAAGCACAGGTAAGAGTTCTGCATTTCAAACACGCCAAAACCCACAGTAAAGCGCTAACCGTCTTGGTCTTCCCAGTGCCTGGTGGACCCCATATAAGCTTCACGCGGTTCATATGCCCACATAGTACAGCTGAGATGACAGATTCAATAGCATCTAATTGCGATTGATTAAGCTTAACTGACAGTAGTTGCTCTGTGTAAGAAGCCAAACAGCCCCCATCCTTTTTAGCACACATACGGCAAACATCCTCACCCTGCAACAGAGCCAACAAAGAGGAGCTCAAAAAGTTAGGCCCCATGTATACCAATTTATAATGGTGATGAAAATAGCAAGTAAAACTAAAATGCGAAAATTCATTTCATATTACCAGATTTGTGGGGGCTAAAAGCGACTTGATTACTGTGAAATTTTCATTCATGTGTGTATCGAAGGTAAGTGCTTTCCATATCCGTGTGTTTGTCGTGATATTATTGAGAAATATTGCATGCTTGAGTTTGTTTAAATCTTCTTCTTCCAAACAATTATTCTTTGCAACTTTGACTCTGAAGCCCTTCTGGTATTCATCATCCATAGAAACCTCAGTGACCATTGCCAAGCAATATGTCACACCATGGCGGTTTAAGTCCTCTGCAGCTTCAGGTTTTATGCTAGACAAAATATAGATGTCACCATTCCTCGCAGAATAAGCCCCAGTAGAAAAACCAGCATCATTGTCCCAAAAGTCCACATCCATAAAGTATGATCCTGGTTTTCCTGCTACCTCCATGGAAAGTATTTTCGACGAGGGTGCTTCACTGATGAGTTCAAGGCATGAGCACAGATCTGATCTTGTTTCTTCAATCAGAGGCACACGATACGACGTGAGATAGTGATTAAGTGACTTGAAGTTGCAGGGAATAGTCTCAACCTAAACACAAAAGAGGTCATAGATGAAATATGGTTATGGGTAGCAAAAGATTCTCCAACAGTTCTTGAGCACAAGAATGGCATGTAAGTAATGCTAGCAAAATAGCTATCTGGTCAATTTCATCTACTGCAAGAGCAAGCAAGGTTCAATACAGGGCTTGAGTTGTTCTAGCATTGACGGCATTGACGTACCACTCAGCACATGTCAATTGCACATTCATGGCACATGGACGGAAAACCCCTTGAAACCCTAGCGCATGGACCACACAGGCAGAGCACCATCATTTGGAGCATCCAATTGACCCAGCTTCGATTGCACATAAAAGGCAGCAAACAACAGCGCGCTAAATGCAATTAACATCAGATTTAAGCACAACCAGAAACCTAGCGCGCATATGCATGCATACGCTTAGCCTGTCCGGGGCCCATAAATACGCACAGGTTCCGAAAAATAAAAAGGCTCAAGCTTGCAAAAAAAGACAAGAAATTGCAGGAAATAGTCCCAATCTAAACACAAAAGAGGTCATAGACATAATTTTGCATAGCAAAAAACAAATTTATAGTTTCTTCCACCAGATTGTACAGCATCGCGATATGTATCTCTCTCACATCAGGATACATATATGACTTACACACCTATCATTTCCCAACAGACCTTTAAAACTTACACCGCATATTATCTAATGCATTTTAGCATGAGACGGGCACTTGACAAATGGTGGAAAATCATGGGCATAGCAAATTAGTGTGTCATCCTTTTCAAAAGAAATGGGCATCTCGATCAGTAACATAAAAATTATATGTAACATCTAGTTGCCTGAATCAGCACATATGGCACTCACAGCAACATGTAATTCCCTGAAAACACCACGTGTCACCTAGCGTGCAAAAAATGTGTTGCCATCAGCACATGCCAATTGCACATCCATGACCCGTGGACAGAAAACCCTTACTAAACCCTGGCGCATGACCACAGACAGACAGAGTACAACCATTTCGCCATTTGGAGCATCCAACTGACCCAACTTGGATTGCGCATAAAAGGCAGCGAACAACAGCACGCTAAAAGCGGTCAATCAAGGAAAACCAGCAGATTTAAGCACAACCAGAAACCTAGCACGCATATGCATGGATACGCTCGGCCGGTCCAGGGTCCATACGTACACACAGATTCGAAAATAAGAAGGCTCAAGCTTGCAAAAAAAGACTTAAAGTTGCAGGGAACAGTCTCGACCTGAACACAAAAGAGGTGATAAATGAAATACGATTGTAGGTAGCAAAAGATTCACCAACAGCTCCTTAAGCACAGAAATGGCATGTGACAAACAGAGTCAACAAGCAGGGATCAACATAAGGCTCAACAACATATAATTTCTGATGCCAAATTGAAATTGTACAACATCGCAAGATGTATCTCTCTCGTTAGGACACATGACTTACGCACGTATCATCTCCCAGCAGGCATTTTAAAAACGTCTTATGTAACTTTTTTGGGAATGAGACTAGATGGTGCTACAGCCTGCCCAGTACAACACTTGACAAATGGTGGCACATGACGGACCTAGCAAAACAGTGTCATTCTTTTCAAGAGAAATGGGCAATCGATCAGTAGCATAAGAATGGTGCATAACACCCACTTTAGCCCGAATTAGTCACATATGGCACCAACAAGCAACAGCAACATGTAATTCCCAACGGACATATCATGCGCCACCAGACGCTGAGCAATTACATACGCTGCCATCATCAGGCACAGACAGCCCATTAATGGCACCCGGCACACGTGGACAGAAACCCCCTCAAAAACCCTAGCGCACGGCCCCAAATCGACTGGTACAGAACGCGGCGAACGGCAGCGCGCTCCACCTCCACCGGACGCGACGGATCGACCAAAGATACTAATCGCCGGACTTAAGCAGGAGCAGCAGAAGCGATGCACGCGCTTCGCCGGTCCGGGGTCCGTACGACGTGCTACAAGCAGATTCGGACCGAGCAGAAGGAAAAAAAAAGGGCCACGCTTTGCAAAAACCGCGCGCGCGGCCGCGGAGACCGTCGTCGGGGAGGAAGGATGGGTGGATGGCGAAGGTGGGCGTACCTTGTCCCTGTAGAGGTCGTCGTCGCTGATCTCCTGCGCCGTCCAGGAGAGCACCACCTCCTCCAAATCCGTCTCCCCCATGTCTCCGGCGCAGTGGCGGACGGCCGGGGCTGCCGCGCTCCTCTGAAGCGCTGGCCGGTCACGCGCGAGCAGCCGAGCAAGCAGGCGGCATTTGCGAGCAGGGGGGAGGAGGATGAGGGGGAAGGGGGTTTGGTTGTGGCGGTCTTGGCCGTGTGGAGGAGGAGTCAAGGTGGTGGAGAAAAGCAAAGCAAAGCAGAGAGAGCAGAGCAGAGGAGAGAAAAGCAGGGGCGATCAAAATGGGGAAGGGAGGGGGGCTCAGACCGATCGGCGCAGAAACCTTTTGCTTCTGGGGGAGGGAAAGAGGCTGCTGCTGCCCTCCCTTGTTGGGGACGCGGGCCCTTCTTCACGGGGCGGGTAAAAAGAGGAGGGATGGGGAGGGGAGGGTGGCAGGCAGACGCGGTGAGCCCGTGAGTGAATGAACCTCTGTGAGAGCGAGAGAGAGACTGGGGAGCGCCGCGGTTGCTACGGTGAAAAATGGCCATGGTAAAATGTGCAGGCAGTGGAAGCGTGCTCTCTCCTTGCTGGGTTTGGTCGTTCCTTTCTTTTTCTCTTCTCCGGGGCGACCGGTCCGGGGTGGTTCACGCCGTGTTCTCTTCTCCTCCCAAGTAGCACTAGTACGATAGGCAGACCACGCATGTGTTCTCCTCCCACGCTGCCACGCATGTGTTTCGCTAGCGCTACGTTTTCCTAAACGGGTGACGGGTCACCACGGACCTCAAACAGCTCGGTAAAGAAAAATTATAAACTCGTGTGTAAGTATATTGCAGTTGCAGTACAGCAAAGAAAGGACCCGGATGGAAACCAAAAATACAACTCAGTCCAATCACTTTGCGGAGAGGCCCCTGGATGGACACGAGGAGAAGCCGGCAATTTGATCCGCCGCCTTCAACGAGGCTCTCACACCAGGCCAAGCTCGCCATCGCCGGGGACAGAGCCACTTGGGATATATATAGGGGCTTGTCGGCGCTCCATCGCCAACCGAAGTCGGGTGAAAAAGAAACGAACGCTGAGCCGCATCCAGACCTGCTTTCAGGTCCTTTCTTTGCTGAGAAGAAACACGGGACTGAGTAGCAGTAGGTGCTACGGATTAAAGGTCGGCAGCCTGTCTCTGATGCGACGATGGATTCCAGGATAATGGGAACGAGTGCACCTTGACCTCCTGTGCCGCCACGTCGTTGGCTGAATAAAGAGGGAACAAACGCCTTCAAATACGCCAGATCCCGTCGCCTCACGAGCTTATTTGAAGAGCTAGCGTCGGGTCCCCCACCCGTCGCCTCCTTCCTCCATGGGGCTAGGCCTTGGGAGTGGAATTCGTCCACCTGGTGCTACTCTTTCAAGAACACACAAGACTGTGGGGATCTAGAATCTTTTGTACTAAATAATCAAGAAGCCATAGACTGTGGGGGACCTAAAATCTTTTGTACTAAATAAGCAGATAGAATATTCCGTCTACGACCGAGAAGCCATAGACTGTGGGGACCTAGAATCTTACCATTGAGGTGTGCCACAATTAAAAATTTGTGAAAATTACACGATAAATAGTATAATTTGTTCTAAATATCAACATAATATGGGCAACCAATCTTAACATAGCATTAACTTGTTAGATATGTAATGTTAAAAACATAGTAAAAAGTAATTTCCAATTTTGGAGGGGGTGGCATGACAACCCCTCCCCCTCCCCTAGACCACCACTGGCCATAGGCGGTCTTGGACAACATAAAGAAAAGCACACTGCCGGCGATATGGTCTCCTATGCCTAGCTTGCTTCCGGAGAGTAAGCTCCACTGTGGCCCTAGCTATGATGACCAATGGAAGGGGGTGATTCTTCTTGAAAACATAGCTATTGCGCTCCAGCCATATGAACCAGAGCCCCATTGCTATTAGGGAGCTGGTCTCAATGGGATGTGGCTGAGGGGCAGCGTCGACAATAGTTGGCCACCAAGCGCCATTGGAGGGGGTATCAAAGTTGAAGTGAGGTGGTGCAGGCGGTATGGTAACAACAAGCCAAACCAAGCTTCCCATGAAAACGGGGAGTGCATCATCATGTGGTCGAGATCCTCGGGAGTTTAGTCGTGTTACAAGCAGCATGGCGGATGAGGTAAATGACGACGGACTAGGCGATTGGCCGCCCAAAGTTTGTCTTTGAGGGCAAGCCAGAGGAAGACTTCGATATCCAGCAGCGCCCAAGAAGACCAAAGCTCAGATGCACGATGTGAGTTCCGAGCCAAGGAAGAAAACTTGGTGGCCCGAGCTTGCCCAGAACTGTGTGTTTATCATGAGGCGCCATTGGAAGTGACCTAGTTCAGCTATGGTCTGATGGCTTCCCACTGCAGTCCATAAGGTCAAGAACCTGACAATGGTCGGCACAGATGGGTCACCTAGATGTGTCGGACCAAGGCAAAGTCGGCCAAGCCACTCGCGAGGGCAGTATCTTGCTTGGCCGCGAGCCTGACAAACAAAAGCGGTTCAGGCATGCATGATCTGCTCCATACTCATGCCATTGATCTATCTATCCTACCAGAAAAGAAGGTGTCGGTCGTCGCAATTCATGCACCTACTAGCCACCAAGAACAAAGCCTCTGCTTTCAGATGGATCGTCATGGGGAGCTCCGCCCAAGGGCAATCACCTATTGTCTTCTCAAGGCACCCGTCAATGAATGTGCGACGCAAAATTGAGGAGTTGGAGGTTGTGGACGCGGAGCCCTTCGAGGTGCTTTGGGGTGCAAACATTATGACAGTCGACAAGACAAGTGTTTTTTTTTTTTGAGGTGAGTGTTGCCCTTTGCTTCTTCATGTCCACACCAAAGAAACCAAGTCGTAGCTTGTTGATGCACTCGAGGAACCACGACCTGAGCTCGAGGGAAAGCATGTCGTAAACTGTCGTGCCCGTGAAGGTGGAGAGCTTGCATACGGCATCCTGCCAGATAGCTTGTAGGCAAAACACCATCTACAATTACTATATACGTTAAAATAATTCAAGGCACACGTCAATCCGTCGATGACAAGCAATCACACAAGCATGAGCATGACATAGATATTTGTTAAGGAGGTTCTCCAACATAGCTACATGCCCGGAGCATGACTATGGGCGCTCCTCCTCATGTACCGAATGACATGATATAGACGACGATAAGCCCGCCCAGGATATCAGAAAGAGCTCCAATCATCGCGCCAGGACCGGTCCGGCCACCCATGCCACATGCATCCGGGTTGTCCCTCTCGTGATCTCTGTCTTAGCCCACAACTTATGTCTAGTCTATTTGGCTGCCCCAGTGTCTATATATAATAGGCCCGGGTTACACATCTTCGACTCAAACACCTAACCCACTGCTAATTACATGTCCAACTGTAGCCTGACTCGCACATACTCGACAGATATATTTTAACACTCCACCTTGTCGAATATGTGCTCGCCATCCTAAAGGAACCGCGCTCGAACCTCCATGTACCTTGGACTTGAACCATTAATCATGAGCTCCGACGCTACCCCCTTGACTTCACACAACTCCACCTGCAATTGTAGCCCCTTATTTTCTCCATGTTAGTCAAAGCTCCCACGAAAATTAAGTCTATTTGCATTCTTATTTTGTGTTCCCAATCTCCCAGAATATCCATCCAACGCCATCACACGTCAATCGTAAAGTGACTATATCTGACAACACCGTTGTATCATCACCATGTTAGCCTCTTTTCCTTATCTGTGTGAGAGTGAACAACTCACATATTAGATGCCACATATAAGAATTTCTGAACTCACCATTCTCGCTATTGTCGAATGCATGTATGATTTTCTCGAGGATGTCATAGATTTTTTTTCGCAGTTTCCAGTCCTCTGTACCAAAGGAATTATGTGCGGAACAAATGATCGCAAATTTCATCCTTTGCTTGGGCATCCATCTGAACGAGTCTTTTCTCCCATGGACTAAGATATCCTGGGATGTCGATCATGTAGCCGTGTTGCACAACATGCTAGATATCATCGTTAGTAGCACTGAGACGAATCTCCATCTTCTCCTTCCAGAAGGGATAGTCCGTCGCATCGAGGATGGGATCTTCATATTCGACTCGTAGTTCACTAAATATATACTTAAACTCAAGGGTTGTTAGACCTAAATAGAAGAGATAAGGAGTACCTTGCTCTGATACCAATTGTAGGAACGACGTATGTCTATCAGAGGGGGGTGAATGAAAGATTTCAAATTTCCTTCAAGAAACTTTGAATCCCTTAGTACACATCAACAGAATAAACATAACAGCTACAAGCCAACGATATAAAACTATCAAAACAACATAGTGTTTCTCTCAATGGATTTTAAACTCAAATCTTTTGGGAGAAAGGGTGCTCAGATAACTTGTCAGAAACACATGGAGCAACCAACAGATAATGTTGAGCATGGTGGCTATTTATAGAAGCGGTCTTCCCGAGGGGAAAATACCATTTTGGACATGACATCTAGCCAATGACCAACCGACACGTTTCCAACAGTTGGATTTCAAACGCACCCGACAACTTTACTTGAGGAAGAAGTAAGTTGACTCCTCGGTCCGAATCAAATCTATCGCTTCGAAGAAGAACTGCGGCTCTGACTGGCGTGTATTGTTTCAAAACACAGAGAGATTTTTCTCAACTCACACAGGTTTCGGTTTAGCATCAGAGAAACATAAGTTTCGAACACTATACCTCTCTTGATAGTATGGTGGTCCTATGACTCAGGAAAAGAGAAAATAAACTACGAAAGAAATTACTATGTCTTTGCTCCGCCTTCATTCTTCTCGGCTGTAGTCAATTTCTTCGGACCATGTACCGAAGCAAGTGCTTCACTTCAGCAATTTTTGGGGGTCAACTTCGTCACGCATAATCTTCGATGATGATCTTCACTGCTATGCAGGTGACTGCCTTTGGAGTTTAAACCAAACTCCTCTTGACTCCAGAGACCTATAATCTTTGTGTGCACTAGCAAACACATTAGTCCCTCACTGTTTATGACAACAATCTC